CATATATATCAAGGGTAAAAGTTGAAAACTCTTCAAAAGGATTAAAAAATGGGAGAAATTGAAAACTCATCAAAAGAGTAAATGAAGAAAGAATTAAATCATAAAATGGATCTCAAAACTGATTTGTTGGATTGTAACATGGCTACGATCATCGTCATTTTTCTTGAATTTAAATAATGTGTTCACTTCGTTCCTGCACAACTGCCAATTATACATACATATTGCTAACATTACATTTGCTTTATCAATGACTGTACAGCACAACAACAGAAAAAGAACAACATTGCAACACATAAAGGCACGGACAAATACACAGGCACAAACGTATCTCTGGTGTGCATACAGTAAATCGGAAGTGGAGGAGAAGTATATGCTGTACACTTGCTTATACAAAACACTACAACACTACACCACTACACTAGTGCACCACATCATGTCAGTGGACTTAGGTGAAGACACGTGTAACAGTTACTGTGCAAACCATGTGTACACTGATACAGTGCAGTCTCTTATAGTCTATATGTTCTTACTAGGTAAATGTAAATGTCAGGCTCTGTAGACACACCTCTTAGTAACCACTAACTCCTACCACTTATAGTCTCTTCTTTCATAATCTTTCATCATCCCTTAATCCAACTCAAAGACTTAGCAGCTCTTTTCTCATTCCCTCATTCCCCCCTCTTATCCCCTAGACCTCCATATCTGTCTTCCTTGTCACTTTCCATGGTTACTCTGTGACACATGGGCCTTGAGGTCCCTCGTTCATTTCCATCACGCTCTCCACTCTGATCCCCTTCTTCCCACACTACCTCGTTCATCTTTCATCTTTCTCTGTGCTCCTCTCTCACTCATCTCAGATCTGGCTGTGGTGTCCATGCCAACAGCTGTGGTTTTGGGTTCTCAAAGGCTGTTGGACATATAGAGCCTTTTATCCTCTGCCTTCATTCCTCCCTTATTCCACCATTCTACTATCCTTTCTGTCCTCTATCACTCTGTCAGTCCACTGCAGGCACAAACAGATTATCTTTTGGTCACTCTTTTTCATGATCCCTTGACAATGTCTCTTCCTTTCTCAGCAAAGAGACATCACCAAGCCACAGTACATGGCCAATAAGTCCAGGAGGTCATATCAAATCACTTCACCACTTTTTTCACCCCTCTGTTCCTCTTTTTCATTCACTTCTCTTCTTATTTTCCTTCAAATGCTGCCTACACCCAATTCTCTTTATGCTCGGCTGGAGAAAGCTATAGGCCAAAGGCCTGATCTGTGCTACCAAGGCAAGCAACCGAGTAGGACAGGGTTAGAATTACTCGAGAGTGCCCCACTCCTTATATCCCCTCACCTTCATGGAGATAACAGCACCATGGCTATTCGGGCCCTCGCCTAAGCAACCATGGCAAAGCTTGGGGTTACATAACCTTTTAAGTTTCCTCCAATTCCTGCACAGTAAAATCTACAGCATGAAATGAACTCCTACAGAGTTCAGTAAACATGGTCTCAAATAGACACTGAAGGAATTTAGTCAGTACTGTAGATTTTACTGGGCCTCCAGCTGCTGTTTCCCATCTACAGTCCTGAAGTACCACTTGTTCTGCACATTTTAGTGCTTTCCCTGCTCCCAACACTCCGGATGCAAATAATCAGCTAATTAATGAGCGCTTTCTGATTTGACGTGAGTGTGTTATAGCAAGAAAATGCTAAAATGTGTGGACCAAAGCTGGTAAGCTGTGTCTTATGGACACAGGTTATTTTCAAGGTAAACCCAGACAGTTGACTTTCCTGAAGACAGGCTTTGTGTCTGCACGTTCCTGTGTTTTCTGATTAGTGTTCAGGTTTGTCCCACCTGAAAACACAGCGCGCAAGACCACACTCAATGTACACTAACTGTACCCTTTCCTAAATACAACATCAAAGCATGTCATCTCAAAAAAAAAAAAACATTTATTCCCACCACATCAAACAGCCTCCCATTTTTACAATGAATGTACTGTACATCATTCTTTTTTACTGTATTTTAGTTCTTATTGCAATAAACATTTTGAATTTACTTGGGAGCAATTTGTACATCCAGGTTTACAAATGTCTTTGCGCTTTATAAAGACTGTGTAATCTAAATGATGGTTATTCTAATTGAAAAATCACATTTTTAATCCAGTTCAGAGACAATGCATGAATATTGAGATATATATTATTTATAGCCAAAAGGTCAAATAATGGCGTATCATTTATTTAAACTATGTCACCCAGTCCTATGAAACAAAATCTCTTGCTCATGGCTCATTGAAACAAGTAGAGAAATTCTGTCCAAAACGCAGATAAGCAGAATCTATATTTTCATTCGAGAATCAAACCATATAAATGGGATTTTGCATGCAGTCTTGTTGTGCAAAAAGCATTCTGTTTGCTGTATTTTTTGCATTTCTTGACATTGGAACAAAATCATGCAAATTACATAATTACAATAGAAGAATAACACTTATAACTATAGATTTCAACTACAGACCCTTCAACGTCACCCTCTCCTTCTCTCTCATGAGAAGGACACAAAGCTGCTTCAGCCCAAAGCCCAGAGGGGAGGGAAAGCTGTCTGGGTCAGAAAAGGGGCAACCTTAACTCACCCCTAGTGTTTACCCTACACCAGTGCTACCCACTCAGCACCTGCCCTCCCATGCCCCTCTATTGCCAAGCCTGATCTCAAACACATTTCCATGGGAAACCTCCTGATGCTGTGGAAGGGGGGGGCGAGAGGGGGAGAAAGAGAGAGAGAGAGAGAGAGAGAGAGAGAGAGAGAGAAGAGATGGGGGGCCAAATGAAGTCTCTTATTATTTAAAGGATATGTGAGGAGAAGTACTTTGTTGACTGAATAATCACTTTTTCTTAAACCTTCGAAAAACTTTTATTATCATTTTGCTATAGTAACAAGAGCACTTACATACAGTCGTATACATAAGTTTTTGCACCCCTGGTCAAATTACAAGTTTTGTTGATTTTCTGAGTGAAAATTAAGTACACATATTCCACAGAGAACACACTTCTGCACAGTCACTGTTTTTTTGTTTTTTTAGCTGAATTTAACATATCGGAATAAAATGTGGCCTATGCCAAAGTTGTGGCACATTCTAGATATTATGTTTTTTTCTCCTCATATTTTAAACTCTAAAACTAAAAACTGTGCACTAAAATGTGAAGAAATTTGCCATATTTAAGTTTGTTCCCTGTAGAGGATGTGTTAACTTTATCATGAGAGTATTTAAACTTTTGCATACATACATTCCATTCAATTTACTTTGTGTATCGACAAGTTTGAATCCTCACTTCTGACTTTTCATTGAGGATTCGAAACATTTCCATTTGTTTAGATGTCAAGAAATGACAATAACATGGCAAAAATGTATAAATTATTAATAAAACATCATAATAATACAGCTCATAGTCTACTTACAAATGTAGTATTTATTGAAACCTCATGTTTGACAGAAATACCTACTTGTTTCAATGAGTCAGAAATATAATAAGGTTTAACTGTATAAAAAACAACATTTATTAACTGCATACCGGAAGTTAAGGTGCATCAGATAATATGAATGATGGTCAGTGGCAGCAGTAGCACTAAATCACATGGTACAGTGGAGCTTTTGCTTTGTTCTAGACTGCTTGGCAGTAGAAAGCCTAGTCCACTTACGGTAAGAGGTTTCATATACAATTACTGTATATAGAGTTTTCATTAGCTCTTAGGGGAAATCCATTAATTATTCCACAATAACGTTCCCTCTGCATGCAGGAAATGCTGCGTCATTACTGCCTAACACAACTTCATCAGCTCATAAAGCCTGTGAGGCACTCACAGAAATGAGAGAGGGAGGGGGGGAGACAGACATTCACCATCCCATCTTGCTTTAAAAAAAATCCACCTGTCACCTCAGTCCCCTTAAAGCAAAAGAAAAGACAGGGGAAAAGAAAGAGGTGGAGAGGGGATATAAAGAAGAAGAAGGGGAAAAAAAAAAGAATCGAGCTGCCACCTCGTATATCGGTTTCCTGGCTGGAGTATTTCAGCACAAAGGCGTCTTTGAGGAGGCAGAGACTGGCTGTATTGTCTCCAAAAGGTTAGGCTTCTCTAGTCGAAAACGTCCTCGCCCGTACTCTCCCAGGTTAAAACACAACACGGTGGGCTAAAGAACGCGGGTGATCCCTCTTCCTCCAGCGGCCGGAAAATACCCCCCACCCAACAAAGATGCAGTGACAAGCAGAGAGAGTAGACGGTAAGTGAGAGGGAGGAAGACGTGAGGGATGAGTGCAGGACACAGCCAAGAAGGTTGGAAGAGCACCATGGAGAATGTGAGGAAGAAGTTAATGAAGGAAAATCAGTGCAACATGCTGGACGGCAGCCATAACAAACATTTGTTCAGACACAGCCAAAAAAAGAGCAGCAAACACAGAGTCAGTGTGCGTATGTGTGCCTACACTGTGCGCGTGTTACTGATCTCAGGCCTGTTCTGAATGGATCAGTGCACACAGAGAGCTGTGCTGAACAATAGCTCTTAAAGCTTTCCCGTTTGAAAGATGCGGACAACTGATAGGGACTGCCCGCCGTCCAACTCTCCAGGAGTGAAGCTGACACTTTTTAAAGGTTCCTAAAGGGTTCCTGGCTTGGATGTAAGAAAAAAAGTTGGTGTAGAACATCATGTGAAGGGTCTTTTTAGCTTTTAAAAGGTTCTTCACACTTGCACATCTCATTTACAAAAATGGTTCCTTGGTTTGGTGAAAGGTTCTTTGAGAAGCTTTGATTACTTGTTAGCTACATTAGCTTCATAGCTCCAGTGCAAAACTAAAGAAGCACGCTTGGAACACTAAAAGTGACTTGGCTAATCAATATTTGGGATACAGCGTAAATCATGTAAATTTTTCACTGAACTTCACTCTAAGGGTAGCCAGTGCAATGCCACTCATATGGGCACATCAGGGAACATTGCAGTTTGTGTGCAAGTATCGTGAAACCTACCTTTGTGGTAACTCATCCTCAGGACAGTCCAGGTGGTGGCGGATGTAGAAGCGTTCTGCGTCCTCTCTCTCCCCGTCTGTCACCACACTCCCATTCAGAACAGTCACAGAAGGCAAACTGCAGCCATGCAGGAAACAGCAACTTATTATACAACTTACAGAAAACATGTAATAGTGGCAGAAGTGCAAGTTGGCATTCTGTCCACGGAAGAACATGCGTGCCTGTCAATGCAACAGTGTGTGTCAGGCAGTATTCTTAGGCTGGATTTACATGGTGAAATTTTATGCAACTTTTATGCAACTACTAGCAGGTTGTGAGTTGCATGAAACATAATTACCATGCGCCTTAACAGTTACATAAAGCAATTAAAAAATTATGAACATATTTGAATATTTCACTGGTTATGGAAATTAGTAGCTCATGTTTTTTCATATATTGTATCATTATAGCTATATAAAATCATCTGCCACATCATTTATGTTATTTAGCAGGCAGTTGCATCTTTGCATTAATATTAATATACAAAGTCAAGCATAAAATCAATGATCTAGCTTAAGCAGGCTAAAAAAACATAGCAAATGCTGGCACAAGCAGCCATTTAATCAGCTGTCATGTCAATGTTAGCTGGCTAGCTAACTAGCTAATTAAGCTAACCAGTTACCAGCAAATAGGCAATACTATTCCAAGAGACCTATGTTCCCCAGGCTTATGTTCCCTTTCATAATTTTGGAAACAGCCCTATATTCCCAGGGTCCTATGTTCCCTCAATAAAATCTTCATGGGATATAGCTTTCATGGGATATGTTCTTATGTTGCCTTGAACATTTTTCTTGAAGATGAAAATAAGAGTAACGTCCACACCTCTGGTATATTTACAAACTTATATTTTAATGGTATATGTTCAGTAAATAAAATATATAAACTGTGTTTATGTACATGCTGCTTCCAAATAGATACTCATTCTGGTTGAACATTTCAGTAAATAAGACTGAAATCTGTTCACTATTTAGAACGTAAACATAAAAGTATTTAAATGATTTTAGTCCTAATTTTTAACTTCGCAATAATAAAAACATTGTAAAACATTAGCAAGTTTACATTTCAGCTAAAATGGAATTAAACATCCTCAACGACAACATCTATCCTCCATTTCAGTACTGTTTTTAAGATGTCTTGTCAACTTGCTTGCACCAGTTGCTCAGGTTTGTTCCTTCAGTTTGATAGCTTGCTAGCAAGCTAAGATCTACACAACTAGCAAAAACTAAAGAAAAATAATGCACCACATTTAAACCAGACAAAGTAATTATTTAAAGTTACTGTATGTATGTATGTATTTATGTATGTGTGTGTGTGTGTGTGTGTGTGTGTGTGTGTGTGTGTGTATATATATATACTCACTGTGCTACCATAAGGTAGCGTCTCTCCTGGTCAGTGTATGGTTGCAGCAAGGGGATGCCCATCAGACGAACTTCGCGAAGATTTGGGAAGAAATTCAGCTTCTCAATGTCCTCCCAGCAGCTCAGGCCTGCAACAAATCAAGGACAAACACATTCATCACCACTCCTTTTTCCATATCATAAATATGGAAACAATTGTTTATCATTCATGAATGAAAAATGATGGTCAAGAAAAATATATTCAAAAAAGTTAACAAGTGGTTTTAATGTCTGCAGTATCTGCAGGTCTACCCCATCACATGATGACACCAGCACTAGAAGGGTGAAGGCTAGCATGTGCTTACTCATCATGTGAAATCAGCCACCGCCACATTTTAAACTACTGCTAATGCAGCATTGAACAGCTCAACATACTTGGAGGAGAACGCTAACTGCCAATAGCATCATACATAATAGGTGGAAAGGGAGGGCCTCGGAGAGAAAGGATATTATGCTCTCTTGGGCTCCCATTCACGGATGGCTATGGCATCACCGGGGATCGAACTCACATCTCCAATACATATGGCCAAAACATAGACAGTTGTATCTTCAGTACCAGCATTTAAACTGCAGTTAAGCCTGCTGCCTTTTGTTGGAACAGAGTTAAATGTGTGTGGCTTTTGCACAATTAAAAGTAAAACTAACAGTGTATTCAAAGTCATGACAAAAGGGTAGTTTATTTTGTGCATGTTAGAGTAGTTTGAAATATCAAGGTAGTGTATTCAAGACACTATGAAATGGTTTTTTGAAAAAGGTAGTGCAAAAAACCCAAAATGTTCAGTTCATTGTCATATTATGTAAGCACAAAAAATTAAGTCAACCTAAAATCAAACTGGACCTTTTTTTTTACCGTGTTAGGTCATATCTCTGGTCATGTTAAGCATGATTCATCATACTATTTCATTTAAAATTCAATTTTTTGTTTTCCTGTAATTTTCTATTGAATTGTGGTGACATTAGTCTGCCTCTAAAACATATTCTGATTTTTGGCTATGTCACCATGCACCAGTAGGCAGGAAAAATGAAATTAACCAAGAATATCAATGTTTCATCTTTCCGATTCGTGTTGACTGCTAAGCAATTGGAGACTAGCATATCTTACCTAAACCGGGCTGAAGAGAGCACTGTGTGACTATTATCTACAAAAACACAAATATAGTCTTTTTGAGCCTGTGCGTGCAACATGTAATATGTTAAGATACGTGATGTAGTTTAGGCTTCTAGCTCCAGTGCAAAATGGGAAACAAACTTTAGACATCAAACTTGTCTTGGCTTAGTAGAGTTGCCAGGTGTCCGGTTTTGGACCGGACATCAAAATGTCCGGTTGAGTCTCACTCTAAATGCATTCCATTAGTTGAAGCAGATAAGGTGTCGTTCTAGCCCTTGTAATTATGCCTCTCTCTCTCTCTTTCTTTTTCTCTGTCACACACGCCGGGGTGCACAGGGTGGGTGCGTTCTGCAGCTGCGTCTCAAACCACAGATAGCGTACTTAACCACACGTTAGTTTACTACACCACCAATGATACCATTATTTTTTTTTAATTCTATTTAGTACATCAGTATGATTTAGACACAGCCTGTGTAGGCACAGGCAAAGGTAGGCTATGTTGTTGCAGGGTAGAGATAAAAGGGTAAATGAACATGTTATTTCTCAATTACACCTACTTTCAAAAAGCAGTTTTAAGGATCTTCATCTCTTTATCATTCGGCTACAGAAGACAGTAAATAGGTGTTTTATTTGTTACATGATGGCAGAACAAACAGATGGCTAGAATTTGTATTTTTACCTGTATTTTAACCTTAAATTACAGAAAGTGTGAAGAAATTTGTAAAAAACAAATGAAAAAAAAACCTGTTTACAAAAAAAAGACTAAGAAAGATATATTTGGAAGCTTGAGTAACCCCCCCTCAGAAATATGGCATCCCTACTTGGCTGATCTGTTGCATTTGGGGCATCGGTATAATTTTGATTTTGGACGGAACCACTACACTACTTTAAACTAGATTAGTATAGTTGCATGCAAAAATTATGTTCTGTTGATTTTCTACATTAAAATAAGTATACGTCCTGCACATTTTAATGCACAATTATTGTTTATTTGCTAAATTAACATATTAACAAATTATTGCACATTTTATATATATATATATTTTTTCCAATATGTTAAACTCGGCAAGTAAATAGAAATTGAGCTCTCAAATTAGGCAAATGTCATGTTTAAGTTACCTGTAGAGGATGTGTCAACTTAGTTTCGCTTTGAAAACCAACAATGTATCATTTAACTGGAGGTATTCCAACTTTATATCCGACTGTAAATCAAAAAAATTTGATCGGGACATCCCTTGTTCTCAGCGAATTTCACTCATTCTTATACGTGGTTCTGCATATGGGCTTAAGCAGACCTGAGTTGTGCAGGTTGATGCTGTGCAGATTGGGGAAGAGGCGCTGCAGTGAGTCTTCGGGCTCGTGGATGGACGAGAGCGAGTTGTTAGCCAAGATGAGCGAGGCCAGGCCAGGGTACATGAGGCCCAGCTTGCGCACCTCGCCCCACTGCTGCAGCTGATTATCGGTGATGTGCAGCAGGCGCAGGGACGAGCAGGCTACCGGAGACAAGTTCACACAGTCGTACTCATTCAGACACAGGAAGAGCTCCTCCAGCCTGTGGCAAAGATAAAGGCGTGGTGAATGCAAACAGGAAAGACACACACTGTCGAGCTCACACACACTTGTGCATGCACGTGCACTAGTCTGGAGAGGAAAGATATAGACAGCTTGTGTCAGAGTACAAGAACTCTCATACATGCATTATCATTCACAGACAGACACACAAAAAAATGCAAGCAGCACACGTAATGAATATAAACGCACATGTGCAGGCAATCAGATTTACACTAGCATGCTGATGGGGTCGTACATTAGAGGGGTGTCTTAAACCTTAGAAGTCTGTGTTTCAGGTGTTTCATTCAGTCCCATTGCCACAAGTGTATAAAATCAAGCACTTAGCAATGCAGTCTGCAGTTACATTTGTGAAAGAATGGGTCATTCTAAAGAGCTCACTGAATTCGAGCATGGTACTGTAATAGTATGCCACTGTGCAACAGGTCAGTTCATGAAATTTCTTCCCTCCTAGATATTCCACGATCAGCTGTGAGTGATATTGTTGAAAAGTGGAAACGTTTAGGAACCACAGCAACTCAGCCAAGTGGCAGACCACGTAAAGTTACAGAGTGTGTCGCCAAGTGTTGAGGCGCATAGTGCATAAAAGTCACCAACACTCTGTTGACTCAATAACTGCAGAATTCTAAACCTCCTCTGGTATTAACATCACAAAAACTGTGCACAGGGAGCTTCATGGCATGGGTTTCCATGGCTGCACAGCTGCATCCAAGCCTTACATCTGATGGACGAGTCTGGGTTTGGCGAATGCCAGGAACACATTAGAGTACACATAAAGTTTGGTGGAGGAGGGATAATTCCATGGGTTTTTCAGGGGTTGGCTTAGATCCCTTAGTTCCAGTGAAGAGAAATCTTAATGCTTCAGCATACCAAGACATTTTGGACAACTGTATGCTTCCAACTTTGTGGGAATAGAACAACTTTGGGGAAGACCCTTTTCTGTTCTAGCATGACTGTGCCCCACTGCACAATGCAAGGTCCATACAGACATGGCTGGGTGAGTTGGGTGTGGAAGAACAGAGCCCTAACCTTAACCCCATCAAACACCTTTGCGATGAACTAGAATGGAGATTGTGAGCCAGACTCTCTTGTCCAACATCAGTGTTTGACCTCATGATCATTTCATTTAGTAGTTTTCTGTGGGGGAGCTTTTAGAGGTGTTAAACACTTTGAATGTCCTGAATGTTTTGAGTCCTATCATCTTTTCTGTGAACAATTCTGACTTGGTGTGCTTGTCTAGAAATAGCACATTTTACACCAAAGCAATTTTTTTTACATCTTAATAACTAAATTCTGCAGATTTTGTTTATTTAATTGTGTAAGTACCGCTTTAATCTTAGAAGCCTCCACAAGTCTGCTTGCACACGTGCATATACACGCAAACGAAGACAGACTAGCACAAAATGTTTAAAACTATTTTTCTAAGCAGTAAGTACAGTAAATATAAATAAACATAAATACAGTAAAAAGAACAATGCACACACACATCCAAACACAATGCATTTTTTTTATTTATTCTTATGCTAATTTTGCTTTGAACATATACATGCTTACTGCCAGGACAAGTAGCTTTACATGTAATTTTCTCAAGACCTTTGCACAGTGCTGTACATATACACTTACTCAGGGATCTCCTGTGTGAATGTGTGCACCATGTCCCAGGAGACGTGTGTGTTGTTGAGCACGAGGCGGCGTAGCCCGGAGAATGCTTCAGCAGCTCCAGGATCCAGGCTGGACCCCTTTAGAGGATTCATACTGAGATTCAGAAAGTCCAGGTGAGGGATGTTAGACAGGATCTTGCTTATCTACAAAGAAACACACACATCACAAATAAATGGCTCTGATAAACGTAATAACATTTCAAACAATGCTTCAAACATTATAAGGCTGGCATAGTAGTTAAAGCACTCATAGACTTGTGGAGCAGGACGGTGCAAATTTGATGTGAGAAATGGGGGGAACAACATCGAGAGGTTATAGCCTACATACAATGCTAACACCACATATAGTTGCAGATTTCATACAAAACTGGGTAAAGAACATAGGGTGTAATGATTTCGACACAGTACTGAAAAGCATTAAACCTCTAACTGCTACATACTGTGATTGCAATATACCTTCCAATATTTTAAGCACACTGGCAAATTACTGATGTTACATGGTCTGCATTATTTTGACCAAAATGATTTATGCTTGGATCACATGAATGCTGGTTATGAATACACTATGTGATGTTTAATTCCTCTTTAGATCAGCTGAATCAGGGATTCTCCAGGCAATAGTATGTTTTAAAGCAATGCAATGGTACTGTAAAAATGTCATACAATCCTTATTGGTACACTAGTTCCCTGCAACCATGGTGTGGCATCGAACACTTAAATAAATGAGCATGCAGCCATACAATTCAACCTGAGCAGGTGAGAGTTGTGTCACATGTTCATCTCCCAGAGGGTGTTTGACATTTGAGAACACAAAAGAAGTAAATACAGGCACACATGCACTTTCAGGATTAGAACCAACAGCAGCTGCTGTGTGCCATGATAAGGTATTCAGTGCTCTGTTGAGATATTGCTTTTGAGGTGGGTTGCAATATCATTAGCTGCAGATCATTTTAAACAGAATAATCTAAGCAGAATAATCTTGCAATAATCTAACAACTTTCATATACTTAAGGGTTATTATAGTTTTAAAATTTTCATTTGTTTTTACTTTATTTAGTTTTTTTTTGGTTTTAATTATCTGAAAAGTAATAGTTTTAGTTTAGCTTTTATGTAGTTTCAGTTTAAAAATAATTTTTTGGTGTTATGATGAATGCTGTGATTGTGAATATTTGATTAAGATAGAATAAAGCTAACCCAGTGGACTGAGCTCGGTTTGGCTCCAGCTTTGCTTAAACATAGCCAAACACCGCACCGAAGCGATCTACTTCTAAACTCTCATTCACATACTGAAAAAGCAAAAACTATACGTTTTTTTCTCAGTAATTATGTTTCATTTTAGTTAGTTTTGCAGTAGACTTCATAGTTTTGATTTAATTTTTGTGTTTTTGAAAATTGTTTACTTTTATGTAAGTTAACAATTTTTTTAGTGCTAGTTTTTGTTTTAGTAACAGTTTTGGCTAACTATGCACAAGTTTGGACACCCCTGGTCAAACATGTTTTGTTGATCCTCTAAGTGAAAGTAAGTATGCAACCCTCTACAGATAACACACTCAAGTATATAACTGCTTATTTTAGTGAACCATTTCTATTTGTTTGCTGAGTTTAACATATAAGAAAAAAATAAAACATGAGCCGCCCAAACCTTTGCATAAAACTGTAGCATATGTCAGGGTTATGATTTAAAAACATGTCCTAATAAACCAACAAACATATTCATAAACACTGCCAGTGTTTAAGCCCCTTTCACACAGGCCCTTTTACCTGGAAACGTAACAATAATTCGGTGGGAAGTCGATGCCCCTGGTATTGAGTGTGTAAAAGTCTCATGTTTTGACCCAGATAGCAAACATTCAGAAATACTGAAACTGAAATTTAGTAGTTAGTGTTGTAACCAACTGTGATCAAGTGGGTTAGTTCATGTATCACAGTGCAACATTTTTACTGGATTAGTGAGCTGCTGCAGTCTTGTCACTTAGCACACTAAGGTTTCATTGTTTGTGAAATGCCCATGCTGAAATGGAGATTTTGATTGGTTCTAATGCTGAGCTTGACAGTTTGATGCAACCAATCTTAACTCAATCAAGAAATGGTGGGGCATCACCCCAGTACTTTGAAAAGTAGTAAGTCAAATGCCAACTTGTGGTTCTGGCAGCCATTCACTTACAAATGTACTGATGTCTCAATGAATGTAGGAGTGCTAACCACAAAATGTCTGACCAGAAAAAAGGCTTACCACAAAAATACCTATTTGGCCTTTTAGACTACACTTTAAGTACAGCTATTTCCAAGTGCCAAGAAAATACCAAATGCCAGAATTTAATAAACCTCATAACCTATGTCAGCAAAACAAAGGTGATTTGGTAGCAGCTAGCATAAAGCATTTAGCTTAGCTAAAGCCTCATTAGGCTAACAAATCTTCTTCAATATAGGAGGTCTTATTGTTAAAGGGCCCATATTACGGAAAACTGCATTTCCCTCACATTCATGAAATAAAGAAACGTGAAGTAATATGTAAACATTGTTAAAGTTTAAGACATATCATTCACTACCCAATCAATACAGTCCATATATGGAAACTATGCTGCAAAAAACAGCCTGTTTTGTACTCATTTACATATATCTACCTTTTCACTATACAGCAGTTTACCTCTGCCCATTCATATTCAAGTTCTAAGGAGAGCTTCAGCACTGAGTTCAATTCTAAGGGATGAAGAGAGGGTGGAAAATGGTCTCATAAGAATTAATCAAGTTTACCTCAGACAAATGTTATAAGTGAACCTCAAAAACTTTAGTTTTTAACTATATAATTTTATAACCCTCTAATATCTATATAACTTTTCTTTTTCTATGTAGTGTGGGGAGGTAATTATCAAATTAGCTATTTGTAGCTACAGGACATATCAGTAACTGCAAAAGAAGAGCTCCACAGTGGGAAACCTGTTCAGAAAATGAGAGCAGTCATCCCAACTCTTATAGAGAAATATGCTATAATTTATAAAGACGAGTTATGTCCTCAATTTCACATCTCATTGGAAGAAAGGCACCTTTTACAGTGCAGTGCCCTGTTACGGGACTGAGACATTAGAACACTAAAAGAATGAGCACCCCCCAGTGGCATCCCTAACACCTCCTCCAGCAACAGCTCAAACATTCCCACAGGGTCCGTACTAATCATCCTTACTAATCACACAGTAGCACACAAAGTGCACAAAGTCTTATCATGACCAGCAATTCACATGTAGTGGCATTGTGCATGCAATACCACGTACAATATTACCGACTCAAAATGTTCTTAAGGCTAAGTAGAGCTAGGTTTATCAGATCATATAAACATAAGATAAAACATCCACAGTAATACTGATGAAGGCAGTGGACAAATACAGTCTTGTTCTCTGTGGATAAAGCCTATTTGTGGTAATTACATGGAAAATAATGAAGGCTAGGATCGTTTTGAAAGAGTTCAGTAACCAGATAGTGAGTTTGATATGTGACGCCTCTGCACAACCACAGACAAACACTGCCCTCACCTCTGCCCAGTCTTTAAACTGATTGTGAGACAGGTCCAACTCCACCACATGAGAGCAGAATCTGGCCACCTCCTCTTCATCTCCAGCATGACTGATTCCACAACCATCCAGAACCAACACACAGGGCAGATTCAGACGATCTGACACATACAAATGAACAAACAATGGATTTGAACTTCTGAACATGAAGTGCCATCATGGAGGTAAGAATAAGCTTCTAAATGATGCATCTTGCAGCATACATTAAACTTGCAGTCTTAGTGTTTGGTCTCTTGAGCTATGTCAGAAAAGATGTTAAAAAAACCAACACATTAACATGACTCAATGTTTTTTTTACATGCCTAATGTCTTGAAATTAATCACTGTAGAAGGCAGAAAGTAATAACTGTATTGTAAGAACAGTGTAATAATGAGGAGTGTATTCAGTAACCAGAAAAAGGAGACACAGCTTTGAAAAACTAAAAAAATTTAAAGTGGTAGTTTGTCTGAAAAATTAAATTAACACAATTTCCCCCTTACCCAGCATGAAGTCAGCCACCCAAGATATGTTTGTTGTACAAATTTTGCACAAACATGTGTTGCATATTTAGAAACAGTAATACCACCCAAAATCTGACAAAATTCAGACTACATTCAGGCTTGATTCAGATACATATTGTAGTGAAATATACATTCAGGTACATACTGTATTTTTGTCCATTTTTCAAATAACAAGTCGATTTTGGGTCAACATGAAACCAAAATGGACCCTTTTTACCTCTAATTTGTTTATGTTCCTGATCATATTAAAGGTGCATTATATAAGTTTTGGGGATTTGGAGACCTCATTGGTGCGAATGTGTAATTGCATGCAACAGTGCAACATGCGGAACGACATTTTGTAACGTCAGTTGTGCTTCGGACCCCTTGCCCAAATGACTGATGATTGTGAGGACGCTGAAAGAGTATTCAAAGAAAACTCAGTCAAAACTTGGTAAAGAATTATTGTCATTACATCTTAATCAGTGTAATGTTGATTTAGCCTTTGAGACCTAAACATCAGCCTGGGTGTGTGAGGTTGATATATAAAGATGTATGAAGTGGTCTAAAAACTCACCTAAAATCTGACCTGCCTCTAACTTATAATTAGTATTTCAGGCTTTATAGGATGACTCACAGCAGCTCGCAGACACCATAAAATAACAGGTACATGGTGCGATTCATTAAGCATGATTCATCAAATCATACTTCAAAATACAAAATTCTTGCTTTTCTGTAATCCTCTAACAAAATATAATGACTTAAACTCTAAAACATCAGCTAAGTTTTGATTGTGTCACTGAGCACCAGAGGGTGGGTGGGTATTAATCAATAATATCATGTTTTATCTTCCCCTCCCACCACTGCTATCTATCAGTGAGTGAAAATACTCAGCTAGCTCAGAGACCCTCTTGAATGATAGTTTAGATTAATGATAGATTAAATTTGGGTTCAGGTGCAAAAAGTGTATCACTTTAATCATGAGGAGATCAAGTGACCACAGTGTGCTATGTATGCTTTTATCAGAAATGAATCATTTGATTGACATAGCCATGACTGTAAAGTCTCAGCCAGATGTCTCTCACCTTTGACAGGTGAACCCTGAGGACTGGTGCGGATCACCACGCCGACGCCGGGCCCTCGGCAATAAGGGAAGTTGTCTGGGCTGTATTTCTCACTGATGACTTGCACCAGAGTGCGTCCTCCTTCGTCCTCAGACTCCATTTGTCTTCTCCTTTCTCACTCTTCCACCTGGACAAACAACAAAGCAGCACTAACCACAAACAACAGTGGTGCTGAACATGTTACAATGGACTTGTTTCCCAGTGATTTAGTTGACATTTGGAGAGAGAATGTATTTTAGAACTCTGCGTCTATTATAAGAGGCCGCCTTATCACAAGGGTGCAGAGGTCAAGAGTGGAAGATCCCAGAATAGTGAAGCAGTGTAACAACAGGTGTGGCATAAAAGGCCTATTTCTGACAATATGGTTAGTCTGGAAAATACTTTAACATTATGAGGAGAAAAAAGAATTTAACTTATAAAACCAAGCATTAATATTGTTCTATTACATTAATAGGACAATATTAGCCCTATATAAGCTTATCAAAGTTATTATGTTAATCCATTAAACTGCGAAGACCTGCATGATGGCTCATACTTTAATTCTTTCCACACTCTCTAATTTATATTAGTTTTACAGCAGTTACCAAATAATGTAGACAGCATTGAAAAGTAGTTTCTAAGGGTTCTTTATGTGGTTAAATGCTTCTTCTCTATGATAGAAAACCTGTTGTATATGGCTCTTTAAAAAAACTTTTACAAAATGGCTCACCAAAAAGGCTTCCACTCTTGCAGGTCATAGAACCTTTTTGGTACTATATAGAACCCTTAATAAGAGTGAATTTACTGAATGAAAGTCTAAGATTGTCAACAAAATAATAGGGCTGCCATGATTAATCAATTAAACTTGAATAATCGATTAAAAACTTTTTTTACCTTTTTTTTTTTAAACATGATCTTTTTCTGATAATATTTAGGTATAATAGGCACATGATAAGTATAGTGAAAGTTTTTAAACACTCTGCATATAACTGATTGTGTCAGCTCTACTGACTAAAAAGCTTACGGTTCATGGGGTTAAAAGCAACTAACTAGACTTAGTTACCTCACGGTTGAAGGTCCTACTGCAGTCCAGCTCTGGACACCAAATGGCTACACACAACTTCGGTGCTGTGTCTGAGCCCCCCAGGTCATCCAAATGGAGGCGGAACTCAGGCATTCAGGCAGGGATGGAGCCTAAATCTGGTCCCGAGGCCTTCCGGGTCTGGGGCTGGGTTTCCCTACACAAGCCCTCTACTAGCAAACAGCAACAAAGCAGAAAAGTTGAGAGAGAGAAAGAGGAAGACAGAGAGATAAAGAAAAAGAGAGAGACTGAGCACGTGACATGGAGCACTAACAGTGACAGAATGGCCATTCTTCTCTGCTATTGTGACATCAGCACAATGAGGTAACATTAGCGTCGGAAAGAAAAGGACTGGCCTTGAAATCAGATCCTACAACACTTTCGCTGACTCCCATATGCTGCTGGAGATATAATATCTAAAAGCCTAAAGGGTGACGCTGAGAAAAGTAACACACTGAATTTACTTAATTTGAATATATGCATCATTTCTACATAAAATTATATTATTATTATTATTATTATTATTATATTAACATACACACAATTATTGCATACAGTAAATAAACTGTGTCGATGTAACATTTTTTTACTGTGGAAATTAAGTACACATTTGAATCAAACTTAATAGGGATGCACAATGATATTTTCTAAAAATGTAGAAACTTTTCTACGTTAAAGATATTGGATATTGGGATTGGCCCACAGTTTCCATATCTGTGATTCCCTGAAACTTAACACAATACTTTTTCATGCTGACAAGCATGTATGAATGTATTTTAAAAAATCAGTTTTCAAAAAGGCGTTGATGATGTCTTTTATCTAATCTGAGATTTTCATCTCACTTATTAGATTGCTTGATTGTCAACCGCAGTAGTGACAGCCTTTAAGTCATAAAACTGTATGTGCAGATATCTGGTCACGGCATGGTGAGTTTTGAAAGATGACCTGTAGGCTGAAAAATAAAGCAGCGCTTCTATTCACCCTTGTAACTATGTTGTCACAGCTAGTCTCAAATTTATAAGTTTTGCCTAAGCCAGAGCTCACATTTGCCTGCTGTTTCACATTAAAAAAGGAATCCCACCAATTTCTTTTAGACTTTTTGCATAATTCAGTTGTTAAAATGTAAACAAAATTATCGGAAGTGGTTTAATGTGAGATACATCATTCTAGAGAAAGAGTCAGAATTGTTTAACAGACGTTTAATGATTCTAAAAGCTACCTCACAGAATGTTACTACTCAAAATGGTAATGAATATATGAACTGATGCCTGAGACATTGTTTTACTATAGTTTTGAGATAAGGTTTGAACCTAAATTATGTTTTTTAAAAATATATTCATAGCAGAGAGGTAAATGAGGGTGTTTTTAGGCAAAACAGGACTCAGACTGTCACTATTTTACCATCATCAACATTACAAATAAAAGTCAGAAGACATGTGTAGGTTCACTGGTTGTTTTGGACAGTAAGTATAATGGCTATATTTGCACTGAACACATTGTGACCCCTGGCCCATATCACCACCACTGCACAGAAATTAGAGTTGACAGGTCTCTCTACAATCTGCCATTTCACATCAAACCACTCCGAATGACTTTGTTTGCATTTCAATGATTGAACTTTGCAGAGAAATCAACAGAATTGCCTTTTAAATGTGAGAAAACAACCAACTAGGGCATGAGTACAGAGCTGTTTAATTTTCCTGCCATAATATACATATACCTGGTTATTAACTGATGAGTTTATAGTGAAACGTGTTAGAGCAGAGAAATCACCAAACCATGCTGGACACTAAGTCTCCACAACTCAACTTGGGCATCAAAGGAGCATTGTGACTACAAATTCTTATGGGGTATGGAAAGTCAGACACTTTGTGTCGTATTCACCACCTGCTTTGCAAAGAGGCCTTGGCATGCCTTGATTGAATCTGAAATGAAGGAATCTACTTCATTAGTCTCTGTGCGTCAATTAAGAGGTGTGGAGTGAGCAGGGTAAATTGTAGCTCACTGTCAGTGGCAGCTTGGTGTGTTTGTACACTGAATGTCCAGAAAAATCCAGACACCACTGATAATCAGTGAATTCAGCTACTTTAAGAGGCCCAAACTGCTGACACAGGTGTTCAATTGCACACACACAGCTTGTATAATCTTGACAGAAAAGCGTTGCCAATAGAATAGGACACTCTGGAGCAACCGCACATGAGCCTAAAGTCACCAAGCATCAGCTAGAGGGGTACAAAGCCCCCCAGCACTGGGCTGTGGAGCAGTGGAACTGTGTTCTCTGGACTGATGGAGCACCATCCAATACCTTTGGGATGCATGGGAGTCATCCAGAACTAATCATCCATCAACAGGATCTGGCCTCACTAAAGCTCTTGTGGCATTCAAATTTTCACAGCACTGTTCCAGCATCTAGTTTGAAGCCTTCCCAGAGAAGTAGAGGCTGTTACTGCAGCAAAATAGGGATTTCCACATTTCTACATAATTCAGTTGTTGAGATGAAACAAAGTCATTCAGAATGGGTTAATGTAAAATGGTGAATTGTACAGACATTTGTAGACTGTTTTCTTTAATATGCTGGTGAGAGAGACGAGTGGTCATAATGTTTACCCTGCAAATATAGCCATTTTGTTTACTATCCAAAACCACCAGTGAACATACATGTGTCTTGTAAGTTTTAGATATAATTTTTACAACAGTAAAACAACAGTAAAATTGAAACTTTTTTTCCTTTGGAGACTATTTTGCCCTTCACCGCCTTGCATGTATAACTCCAACCATGACTTTATCATAAAACACATTTCTCATTCTCATTCTCATTTCTCTAGAACAGAGCATTTCACATCAAACCACTATGAATAACTTTGTTTACATCTAACCCATTCAATTATGGAGAATTTTTTAGACAAATCTGTGGAATTACCACTATTCAGAATCATGAGTTCTGTATAGAACCATTTCATGCTTAAATGGTTGTTCAGATTGATATATATGATTATATATAGAACCTTTTTAAAAATGGTTCTATATAGCACCAAAAGGGTTCTGCTATTGTTACAAGCTTGACATCGTAACAGTAGAAAAACTCATTTTGGTGCTATATTGAACTATGTGTTCTATATAAAAGTGGTTCTATTTGGCACCGTTACTTCTATATAGAATCATTTCATGGTTAAATGCTTCTTTGCATGATAAAATGGTTCTTCAGGTTGATGGAGAATGTGTTGATGATTCTATGTATCACCAAAAAGGGTTCTTCTATTGTTGTTTGACATCTTAATAGAAGAGCCCTTTTTAGTGCTATAACCATACACAACACATTCTCTGTCAATCTGAAGAACCATTTCACCAAGCAAAGAACCATTTAGCATTAAATGATTCTATATAGAAGTCACGGTGCTGAACAGAACCACTGCGTTGAAAAAACAACTTATCAAGAGTGTAGAGAAAAGTGACACTGCAGACTAGACTTTGCACGTATGACGCAATGTTTCTGATTCACCATCTGTTTACAACATTGTTTAAAAGTAAAAAAATAAAAATAAAAAAAGTGGGCGTGTTGTGTGCAATCTGAGCCGTAATGGTTCTGCAGTTCGATTTTCTTACATAAAGAGGAGACATGTAAACACAAGCAAGACTCTCGGTGTCTCTTTAAATAACCTCCGTGTTCAGGGTGAACTGAGCGCTCTGGCAACAGCTGCGGAATGTTGTTGAATTTCAAACGGCTGCCATGACAACGCTTATGTTTTGAATCGGCGAAGTTTGACGGCGCTTGTCGAGAACGAGCAGCGATTTCTCTTAAGATTTCGGTTCAGTTTAAACGCAGAATGTTATCGACAGTGTTCGAGTTCGAGAACAGCGGAGCAGTGGATCTTTGTCGTTTTCCCCGCTTTGTAGCAAAGCACAGGCTCCAGAGAACAGCAGGTAGTAACGAGGCTGAGGTCGGCTTCCTGTTCGAATTTTTCACGTTCCACCTTAAATAGTGCCGCAGTTACATTCTTGCGCTTGAGGCGACAGAACGTAACTGCTGCACTATTTAAGGTGGAACGCGATATTTCGAACAAGAAGCTGGCGAATGAGAAGCTGACTTCAAGCTTCGTCAGGTAGCCAAGCGAACATAGCACAAAAACAACTCTAGGTAGCCTGCTTCGTGCGACATAAACGACACCGCGTCTGCCTTTCTACTGGACTAAAACGATATATTACTTTACAGTAGATCGAAAACAGTCCCAATGCAGTGTGTATAATTCGTAACACGCGACTGCGAAGCGAGCCAATAAGCGCTCGAGTAGTTGTTTATTTTTGCTCTGACAGGAAGCGAGTATAAGACCCTGCAGGATCGCTTTAAAAAACATCTCAAATCTGTCAAGATACACAATATCATATACATACACTACGCGAAACTGTATTTAATTGACGTTTACTATCGATACGCAAATAATCGAATGCTGACGTGTTATATAGTAAAAATATACGTTCGCCGAAAAAAAAACTAACACAAAGAAAGAAACGCAAGGGGCAACAAGCTCATTTATTTTGCACATGGCACTTACCACCTGGACTTGAGGCCACAAACTGAAATACCGTGTAAAAGTATGAAAGCATGCAGAATATTGTTGGCTTGTCCTACCGAGCGCTGTCCAGGTCGCTCCGCTTGTTTTTGTTGCTGGTCGGTGTACAGTAGCCAATCAGAGCGCCTGCTTATCCTGGAAGTGACGTGGTGCAAAACAAGAAAACAAACCAAAACGAGGGTTTTTTAAAAATGGTGCCGGGGGCTTTTAAAAATGGATGACGTGAGCTTCATATAGTGTCTGAGGTCTGTTTGAAAGGGGAATTCCACCGACTTTTAATAGTAAATTCTGCACAATACAGTGGTTGAGAAGTAAACAGAGTCATTCAGAGTGGTTTGGTGTGAAAACGTTAATAGTAGAGAAACACACTGACTAAAATTTCTTTACAGTGGTGGTGGCAGGAACCAGGGGTCACAATGTCAACAACATTATTACAGCCATTTTGTTTATTATTTAAAACCACCAGTGAACATGCACGTGCCTTCTGAGTATTTGTATGTAATGTAGATGGTAAAATAAAGGTAAATCTGAAAAAAAAAATCTTTGGGGACTATATTGCCTCACAAAACCCAGCAAGTATTGAAGTATTGAAGTATTGAAATCTCTTCTCACGTAAGTCCTGTTCCACTCTTAAAGGGGAATTCCACAGATTTTTGCAAAATATCTGCACAATTGTGAAGAGACGTCATTCAGTGTAGTTTGTTGTTCAATTCTAGAGAAACTTACAGAGTCAGGGTTGTACACAGTGGTGGTGATAGGAACCAGACGTCTGAAGAGTTTATCACCTCTCAAAGCTCCCTCACAGAAAGACTGTATGTGAAATAGTTTCAGATATGTTGTCTGCTGCCTGAGACATTGTTTTATGATAGTTTTGAGAAGGTTCTGGCCCAAAACACTGTATTATAAAGCCATTCATGGCAGAGAAGCACATGCATTGTGTTCTAAGGCAAAACAGCCCCCCAAAGAAAATGCATCACTATTTTATAAACTTATCTATTTTTAATACTGAATTATTTCTTAGTGTAGTTTTAACCTGCCTTCTGTAAATTCACACTAACTTCACGGTGGCAGATTTAGGTTGCTGTAAATTTTGTCTACAGATAAAGGTACTGTAATATTGTCTACAATGTAATACTATGGTTATTGGTGTATTTTCTCAATGATTAGTCATGTTTTTAGAGTACAATGTGGGAAAAAAGGGTAGTGTACAATTTAATGTTTTGTCCCTTGAAGTACAAACAATGTAAATCTCCCCTTAAAGATACAACATTCCTTAAAGTCCAATTGTTAAGTTTAAATATGTTTTAAAGATACACTATATTTACTTTCCCAGGGAAAAGTGCCTGTTTTTGGCTTTCTTATTATAAATGTTTAAAATTGAAAAATAAAATAAAAAGCCTAGAGTCAAAGCAGTAACACTTTACTTTGAGTGTGTCTACATTCTTTACATCTTACTTCATAACATGTTTATGAATGTTAAATCAACATTTATAAAGTATATATGTTTTACGTGATATTAATATGAACTACGACATTTTGCTGAGATACACTGTTCAAAATAAAAGTCCTCATTTAAAAATTTTTTATTATTGTCAGTAAAATGGCTCATTTCTGGATAGCCAAAATAAAAATAATCTCACTTCATCCCTTTGGCCATTAAGTGCTTTGACACTCAGACATGGTTCACCTATACTTTCCACTTTTTTTAATTATTAGTTTTTTCTTAAGCATTTGTTGCACGTCACTTTAGTATATAGACAGTAAATTACTCATAATACTCATCCATTCCCTGTAGATGCAGGATAGCCACATGAATGTAAGTAGACTACTTTGCATTGCAATTTGAAGATCCACATTACATGCATTTCAGTCTGGTTAACCTCCGTCACTTTTGAGGTAAAGGCAAAACAGAATTGATGGATCCTTGGGATAAAAGTGCAAAATTTAACCTCAAAGAGTGTCAATTAAATGGGATAACCAGTGCATAATTATACTTGATACCATAAGCAAGGAAGGACATCACTAAAAATAAAATAAAACCTCTAAAGTATTAATTAATCATTGGGATAACAGTGCTAGCATTATCTCCAAGAGAGTTAAACTGAGGGTAAATAACATTTTCCTCAACAATGTACATAATAAAATTTTAAAGAAGTCATCAAGCAAAAAGGATAAAGAATAACAAAGCGCTAAATACAAATGCTTAAAAAGAAACAAATGATAAAAACGAGGTTGAAAGTGTCAAAGGACCTAATGACCAAAGGGAGAAAGAGAGGTCATTTTTATTTTGGCTGTTCAGAATTTAGATGTTTCACTGAAAATAATATAGTTATTTTTTTTTAATGAGGGCTTTTATTTTGAAAAATGTCTCTCAGTAAAATGACATAGTAGTCCATGTTAATATCATGTAAAATATGTACGCTTCATGAATGGTGAAATTCATGAACATGTTATGAAGTGTTTATGTAAGATGTTATGAATGTGTTACGTAGACACCCTTTAAGTAAACTGTTACTTTGAAAGCAGGGTGTATGGACACCCATGAAAAGAAACAAAACAAAAACAAAAAAAATCTGCAAAGGAATACAGTATGCTCCTTAACTACAGGTTAGTAGCTGTATTTATCGTACGTTTACTGTTTAAATTTAAATAAAAAAAGGTGGCAGCTGTCAAAAACTGAAGTAATGTGTAAATGCAGAGTTTCAGGCTCAATAAAAACTCCCTCACAGACAGTTATCACATGGTTATGAATATACTGACTGATCTCAGATAAATTAAATAAATACAGATAAATAAAAAAATGATATTACATTTAAAAATACATACAATAATACAAGTAGGGCATAGATGTACATGCAGGCTTTTGTAAGGCAAAGTAACACCCAAGGAAAACTTATTTTTTCAAATGTAAAACTAACACTATATGTATATATATCACTGGTAGTTTTGGATAGTAAATAAAAAGGCTATATTTGTGTTGAAGACATTGTGACCCCTGGTTCCTATCACCAGCACCTTAAGGAACAAATCTGAATGACTTTGTGTTCCCCTCTAAGGTTATAATAAATACAAATAGAGTCTAATCAGCACAATAAACAGCGCAATATAAGAATATAGTAAGTGGTTATTAAGAGTGCTTTCTTTAATCAGATTCAGGAATCTTATTAGGTATGCAGGCTTGTCATATAATTACTAGTTAAGATTTCAAAACAAATGCTCCAATAAAAACAGTCAAAAATAACTTGAAAAAAGATCTTGCTACATTCACTTTTGAACGTTAAGAATGTTTCCTCTTGTGAAGTTTTTTGGATGTACAAGGTTTTGTTCAGACAATGGCGACATACTAATATAACTATATAAAGAATGAATTATTATTCCAAACTTCATCACACCCAAAGCTAAATATTATGTGGAATTATCTGCAGTTAGAATTTCTTAGAATTGTACATAAGTACATAATTGTTTAAATCCTTAGTTAAAATGTAATTAGCACTTTGTGTTCCACCTTCTTCTGTTCAAAGCTGTGTTCAAGGTTCGAAAGTTGGTCTAAAAACATGAATGCATGACAAAGGTGTTGCATCCATATTTAAATGATGTATGAAAGTAAACAAACACAAACAAAACCTGTTTTCTGTTTGTTTGGTTGATATTTTTATACTGAAGACACAGTGTTTTGCAATATTTTATGGCACACATTGTAATAATAATAATAATAATAATAATAATTGTGTGATTTTCAGAAGAGTTCACTCAACAGCATTTCACAAAAAGCACAATTTTGTTTATAAAATGTTCTATGAAGCTCAAAACTCCACTAATCCCCAATAAGTGTTAAAGGTTAAATACTGTATAAATGTGACCTACATTTTCTACACTCAAGCACCGCACATCATTTTACTAAACTACATGCATTCACTTCCTACCCAACAGGGGCACAGCTAGAACAAATTGCTGATTTCTTTAAGAGTAACATCAAAACGTGACTAATGTATTGCGTTTATTCCTAGTCATGTGTTCACTTGTTCAGAAATATCATTTAAAAGATAAACTTTACAAAAATCTATTTATGTTTGGTTTTGTTAGATCATGTTATTTATATAACAAATAAATGCAACAACAGAATTCAAAAATCACTTTATTAAATAAGAAGAGCAGATTAAACAGCAAAAACAGCTGATTCTGATCTTCCTTAAATGGTTTCTATTTACTGAACTACTGAATTTGCTCTGATAAGAAGTTGGTGCTGTGAGATGTGGGTAGCTTTCAGTTGCTTTAGTTTCTCTGCCCTCCCCTGAATATTTATTGTAAGGTCCATGCTTTAATTAATGTCTATTGATATTAACACACAAGGGCCAACTAACATCTGTCTGCGGGCTGCATTTGACCCTGGGACTGGACATTGGACACCCCTGCATTACAGTATTAAAATGATATAAATAGTGATGCCTTGTTTTTTCTCTGTACATAACTAATATAATTTCCACATATAACACAATTATTGCAAAAAAAGACAACACTGTGTCAATCTATCTTAGAAATTGTGTATTTAAATCAAGTAAATTAAATGCATCACTTTTTTTACAGTACACCTTCACTTTAACTTAGCTTAACTTAGCTTAAGCTTAGCATGAACCTTAACTCTTAGAAAAATATTTAATATCAACCATAGATGTTATTTCTGAGTCTAATGACTAAAAAGCTAGCCGGACAGGTCTGAAAAAGTTAACCTACAGCACAAGAATGTATTCAACTGAAAAAAAAAAAGATTTTAGTTAGCCTGATAAACGATTATAACTGACTCTTTTTAATGGTTAACTCATCTTACCATTGCATAGATTACATAGATTGAAATATACATAATACCCTGAGATGTAGGTAAAAATTGGAAACTCTCTTCTGTTTGTACTGGCTCTGCTCGTCAGCTTTATGACTGGTTTGTAACGCCCTCTGCTGGTAAGTAATTGCAATAACTTTGGTATGACGTCTACAGAAGCAGTGTGAAGAATAGAATAGAATAGAATAGAATAGAATAGAATGACAGTATGCGTGGCTAAAGAACAATTTTCTGATGTTGAAGTGGGGTGATAGCGGTGG